CGCGGCCCCGCCGCAGGTGCCGCCTCACGGGGGCCGGTCCCCGGCCGCCGGAGCGCAGGTCCCTCTGACCCCCTCCGGCCCCCCCCCGCTCACCACGAAGACCGCCTCGGGGATGCCGAGGGGGCCGCGCTTCTCGCCCGCCGCCGCCTCGCCGCACCCCGTCTCGCTGCTGGTGGCCGCCGCCATCTTGGGGAACGGACGGTGCGTGCGCGGCCTTCCCCGCGACGCGGGGCTCGGACGTCATAACGTCAGCGCCGAGCGCCACCCCGCCCGTTGGCTGTCAGGGTTTGAGCGACGCGATGACGCGAGGGGGCTAGGCGGGGCGGCGGCCGTCCTATAGCCTCGCCCATTGGTGGGCCGGGCACGGGGGCGGGCCCGGCGGTTCCCGCCCCTGCCGGGCGGGCAGCGGCGGGAGCGTGTGAGGGGCCGGGGGGGCCGCGGGGTCCTCGGGCGGCCGCCGCGCTCCGTCCTGCGTTTCCCCCACGCAAAAACAGCAAAAATCCGCACGCGTAACGCAGGGAACGACAGAAATGGGAGCAACCGTCCTGCGGGAAGCCGCGGGAGCGGTCCGGCGCGGGAAGGGCACGGCTCCCAGCGCCGCGGTGCGGCCTGCTGCTCCGTCATGGGGCCGTGACGCAGCAGGGACGAGCTGCGGGGCAGGGCAAGCTCCAGCTGCGGACGAATCTCTACAGCGAAATGAAACAAAGCAGCAGCTGCTAAAAATACCGCTCCTCGGGGCCTGGACTCCAGGAGTAAGGAGCGGCTGCAGAGGACGGATCCCGTCAGCGGGGCTGGCCCCGGCCCTCGGCCCTCCGCCGAAGCGGTGGCGGGTTAAACGCTCCATAATTAAACCTTTTCGTGCTGTTGATTTTTGATCTTGAGGCTTTTTACACGGTTAGATGCAGATTTGTGAAAACAGCCCTTTCGCCACCCGCGCTGTAGTGACGCTGAGGGTACAAAACCCCTTCCTTGGCGTTTTTCCTTGGAGTGCCCCAAGACACCCCAGGAGGGAAGGCCAAGTCAGCCCTCCGAGATACAGAGGGCTTTGTGTCTTCCCCTCCATCAACTCCGATGACCCTGCACAGGAAAAAAGAGTCACCACCTCCCAAAGGAGAACAGGATCAAAGCAAAACTTGTCAACCGCTGAAGTTAAGCCACACTGATAACTTGAATAAGGCATAATACCACATTAAATGTAAACACAGAAGAGTAACAAACTAATCAAGCATCCTAAGTCAGCTGTTGCTATCAGTATTACAGAAAGCCTTAAGCCTGAGAACGCAAGAAAGAACGATCTCACACACACACCCCTCACATGTGCCCAAGTTTATTTTTTTCCAAAACTTGTTTCATCAAATAATTGGATATGAGCAGTTTTTAAAAAAACAAACAGTTTGTGTATTAACAAATTGTGAAGTTCCACAATTAAAATATCCACACAGCCAGTCTTGTGCTTAGGCTTCTTTTTAAAAAATTATTAATTCGTAGAACATAAACCCTCAATTTTTATTTTTGTTTTCCAGTTTGTGGCTAGTGTATTTTCTACACATTCTGTATTCTTATAAAATGAAGGAACCCATGTAAAGGAACAGCTGTACAAGAATACATCTGAAAAAAGAGCCTGAACAACCTAAATTATAGTAGCTCCTTTTAAATAAATATCCAATAAAAGGCACAAACCTGTTACGGGGAAAAACATAACATACAAAACAAGACCTATTAAATAAATAATGTAAAAGTGTGGGTTAGGGTGAGGGAAATCTGTTCCAGCACCTATTTTGTCATTGCTCCAAGATGAAATTCCAGCCAAACATTTGGTAAAGGATTAAACTTAATCACAAGGATACACGTTTGAGATATACTGAAAAGGTTTGATGTTACAATTCCTGTTGTAACTCTACCAGTTACTACCATCTCTTTAAATAAATGATCATGAGAATCTGCATAAAGTAGTGATACAGCAACGTATATATCAATGACAAGTCAGATACATCTTCAGCGTAATAGCAACAGGTTTTCTATATTCCTAGCTATCAGTAATGTATAAATGATAACATGTACAGTTTCCATTGCTCAAAAATATAATCTTTTAAATGGAAATAAATGACTGATACACAGTGCCTTTAGATGTTGTCCTTACAATACAAACTACCCAAAACAAAGTTTTCCTTTTTATGTACAAATTAAGCACCGATCCACAGTGCATACTATTCTAATTGTAACCCCACCCTCCCTGCCACACATCAAAAAACCCAGATGGGGATACACCCTGTATTCAATCTTATAGTCAGAAGGTTTTTTGTTGGTGGTTTTTTTTGCGTTTGTTGCTTTGTTTTTAAACAAAAGTCCACTTGTTATTTTTACCTACAAGTTATTCCACCACTATGTGCACAGAACTGAGATTTCTCTAGTATGTGTCCAAAATTAAAAAAAAACCTCAATTCAGTAACTTCTTGGAGGCAAAGTCAAACTATATCTAGAGAACATTAGAAAACCCCAGTTATTTAAAAAGAGGTACACTTTCAAGTCCAACAGGCCTAACACAATCAACATTTCCAAATTCCCCCAGAAGTTATCTACCCCATGAAAGACAGCCTCCCTGTAGCAGCGTGAAGTCCCAACAGTTAGGCTTGAATGACCCACTAAAGTACAATAATGGAAAGCGCTCAGCGTATTTCAAGTCTTCCTCCTTGTTCAGACAAACATGGAGTGACATCTTAGTTATCTGCTTTCTGAAGTATTCAGAACAGGATTCTGATCAAACAAGTTGGAAGGAAACAAAAGGGAAAGTCACGTTTATATACATCTCTCTTCAGTGTTTTACTCATCACAACTACTCAATTCTTGCGCGCTATTACAGTTACCCTCAAGAACAACCTTTGTCTTCAGAGCTTTTTTTTTTCTGAGAACAAGTTCTGAGCCATAAAAGCCTTGACAGCATCTTAAGTCCTTGTTTTTCACTTCTAATGTATGAACAACATTATTTAAAACACAGTACTCTGCCATTTTACGTGTTCCAATGTGTGCACAAGAAAGAGGCTGGCAAAAAACAGTCCTGTGCACTTTAGAGCAGAGATGAGTGTGCAAAGCAATCTTTTCTTCATAAGGATAAATCTGAAAGCTGTGTTTTAATGTATCAAACATTCTGAATGAGACTAAAAAGAAGGTAGCTTATAAAGTTTTTAGGATGTACTTTGTGGCTGTTTCTCCTTTTTTAATACTAAATAAATTGGTATCAGACAGCTTTGCTACAAGAAATCATACTGAAGAACCATTAAAAAATCCAGAGCAAATCAGAAGTAGTGCAAACTATACCTAGTACTAAAATCCATTTCTGAGCAAAGTACATTCCAGATATTCAGAATGCTCTGCAATAAAGTTATAACAAATATATACTGTTTGCCAGGCATTTATTTGCATATTTTTATTAAAATAATGGATTATTACTTATACAACTCAGTATGAGAAAGAGACCTAACAGCTTACAGTGCTAGAAACTGCCTGCCTGTAGCGCTCTCAGCTCTGTCATTAATGCCCAGACATTTATTACTACATGTACTGGTCTAGTTTGAATTCAAGACTTTTCAATGCTGAATAAATCAATGGAATTCACTATTTCTTAAATAAACAGTCCCCTCAACACGATGACCCATTCTAAATGGCATCTATTCCCTCATCACATGGAGGGTAACTATAGGCACTGAAGAACTCATTGGCTTAACATTGTACAATTGTTCAACCCAATAAAGGTGGATTAAAGCTTGAAGCCCTTTGTAATTCAAACTTGAACATTAAATTGCTATACACTGGTCCAAATACTTAAAAAGAAAAATCAATACACATTCAGAAACTCTGAGTTTTAAATTTCTGCAAGGTTACATTTCCCAGAAGTTAGTCGTTACAGATTGCAAGGCTTGTGGGGTGGTTTATTATTTTGTTTCTTTTGGGTTGTTTCACTTGGCAAAAATATTTCCATAGGGTTAAGAAATACTACTTTTACACTCTTTGGACAGAATTAAAAATTTAGAAAAGGAGAAGGCTTGTTCCCACTATGAGGAAAGTGCTGTATTTTAGAAGTTCTCTACAGGACCGTTTGACAAGATTCTCAGGCCTATTTGCATTTATAGTGAGAGTCAGAGATATTTCCACAATCACAGACTCCCCAAAAGATAAAAGACGTGCTACTCTGGAGGTCTAATTATTGTAACAATAGAAAACTATTCACTTTTTGAAAACTCAGCTTTAATATTAATCATTAGAAGTCATTTTACAGGAGAGCTTCTCATTGTATTCTGCCACTAAACTTCTGGAAGAAAGGTTGCTCCCAATTCCATTTAGTTGTTATGAACTGCTTTTTTTTTTTTTTAATGCTATCACTTTTTATCAGACATTGAAAAATACAAGATAAGGCATTTTCATAGCCGATTTCAGTTTTGGAGGAAGATTGTTAAATACAAAAGATATGCCAGAAGTCTGTACACATCTGACCCATCATGAATAGCATACTTCATAAATTAGTTGATTTAAAAGATTTTCCTCTCAAAAAGAGTCTGGATTTCTTAACATAGCATTTTTACCTTGAAATTACTACAGCAGAAAAAGATTACTGCAGCATTAAAGAAAAGATTATCTAAAAGTTTGCACATATTTACAACTTTAAAAATAATTACTTTTATATGGTTTACAACTAGGTTCTTATTTCAGAAAAGCAGCACAAGCTATTCTCTACAGCTGAATAATTTCAATTTAGTTGCCAGTTCACAAGTGTTGGCACTATTGCAAGGTTTGCTTCTTTTGACCTAATGGACTTTTTAAAAAATTGGATCTCTTGACTCTCTCGCAGATAGCAACAAGATTTTCAAAATGCTCCCATTTGCTGCTCTCGGGGACACCTCCATTCACTGGCTCCCAAAGCTACTCTTTCTTGAGCTATGGAAGGTGCTATCTGCAGAGAAGGTACTCGATGGAAGTGCAGCTGCTGTCACCTGTCGGAGGCTGCACATGCTGTTCTGTACCACACTTGTTTCCCCTACTCCATCACAGACTTTCAGCCCATTTCAGAGCCTGGCTCTTTCAACTAGCCATGTAACACTGACATACCAATGGAGCAATTTATTATTTTTACTATATATATATATATATATATAAAATATGTATATATCTTGTGATTCACAGCATTTCAAACTCACATTATAAAGTTTGCAAATTACTTTAAGCTATTCTAATGTGAAAAAGCTGTCTGATTTCACACAATATTGGCCTTATGATAATGCAAGCATTGCTCTATCAGAGTATTTATCAGAGCACATAAAAATTTTATTGCTTGACTTCATTTGTGTTGTGTCTTGGTTACAACAGCCGCAGAATTTATGGAGAAAATAAACAGCTTTGACATCCTCAGTTAACTTCCTAAGGTAATCCACTGATGAATAAGGTTGTAGAGCAATCATGTAACCCCTCTTCTCAGCTTTGAAGACGATAATCCAGCTTGTACCTTCTGAGCCAACCTCAATAAAATACATTTTCTGCTGAGCAGTTTAAAAAAAAAAAGTGAACAAACATGACTTCACACTGCAGTGACTGTTATAAACAAGAATCTCTGAAGCATTGCAACTCAAAATAATGTTGTATTATACAGGGAAGAAACAGTTGCCCTGTTCTGGAATACATCATGGAAAGATTGAAATCCAGTCTTTTCTTTTTTTACCAGTATTTGGTTGTTCTCACAACTTGCTGCTTTGGCGGATCTACATAAACTGTATCTGTGAAGTAGAGATTACATATTAATGCCACTTGCAAAACACATGGTTTCTCAGTATTTTAGAATTATGAATCTATTCAACTGCCTTGTTACTTGCAAGTTAAGACTATAGGTTTTGGCACTTTAAAAAAAAAAACCAAAGAACATTAAGACCAACATACTTGGATGACAGGAGTACATAGTTTCTTCAACTCGAATGATCTCGTCCATGCCTTTTTCACTTCCCCACCACCCGATCCTTCAGAAAGCTTTCACCACTGCTGTAGTCAGTATGACTAAACCAAGTATCCAGCTAATATCATAGAAAGTCTAAGTTCTACATACCTTCACCACTCCCATTTTCTTAATATTGACACAGTAAGAAGTGAGCCACTAAATCTCTGGTTTTTACTTTCTTCCTTGCTTCCTACCTTTGCATGCTCTCACCATCTGAATTTGCTTCTTCGCCAGCAAAAACTGTTGCCCTTGACTGAGGAACCCCTCACTTTCAAATGCAGAAATACATTAGTAGCCCTTCATGAAGCTTTTATCAAGACTAAGTTTCAATGTGACCTTAAGATTAAAGAAAACAGTTCACCTGAGTTTCAGAAACAGGTGCAAATGGATTTGTTGGCCTTAGACCAGGCTGCGTATAGATCATTGACTGGGGTGCCATCAAAGGAGCAGCTCCAACCTGAGGAGGTACCTGTTAGAAAAACAAAACCACCACAAAACAGGTATATAAAATTCAAACTAGTACTAGAAGATACATCTTTTCGTATTGTAAGTATAGTAGAAAATAAGCATATTGACACACACATGTAGTAAAGTCAAAAGTTTTAAAAAACTTGCTGTATAAAATTTAGAGTCATCTCTTCCAATGCACAGTGTGTAAAAGCTATCAGATTTCACACACTATTCACCTTATGAAACAATACATATAAGTTGCAGGATGATTTCAGCATAATAATGCCTGCCATGAAACCCACTGGAGGAGGCAACTAGGTTTTTCAGGAATACAAGATAATCACATCACTTACCATTCCATATACAGGCACTTGAGGTGTGGTCAACGGGTATGTGATAGGAGCAGGTACCTTCAATCAAGAAAATTTTAATGTATTTTAGATAAGCTCATGCATACTAGTAATATATACATATATATAAAACTGTGAAAAATACATATTTTTCAATACTTCAGATAACCAACATATTTACAAGAAATTGACTTACATATCCAGGATAGTGTACTCCATTCTGGCACAGCAAAAGGAGTAAGGACAGAAGATTATTTAAGAGGTATTCAAACTGCAAATTCTAACCAAGGGATGGATTCAAGTCCAGTACCATAACTGTCTGTAACTATGCTCAAATCATTTATTAAAGCAATTAAAGCAGGAGGAAAAAAAAAGTGCAAGGACAGTAACATCAGTAACTATGCCTGTTAACTTGGATAGACTCCCTGCCTAGAAAGCTATCACTAGTAAGACTTACAGGAAAACCAGAAATTTTACTAAATCTAACCACACTTGTGTGAGAAGCTTTTAGAGGACATGGCATGCAATATCCCTTCTTCCTCCCATTACGTGCGAGAAGAGCATAGAAAAAACCAAGGAAGCCAGTGACCATTCAGCTTAAGAAACAAATAGCAATAGACGTTTAGTCAAGTAAACGTTGCTCACATACTAATTTCTGATGTCTGCAACATATCACAGTACGAAAAGAGAAACGAAGAGCACCTTAAGCCGGTAATAACTCTTATCAGGTTATGTTCACAGGCACAGTGATGCATGCATTTCATATTGCCGTGCATTTTTAAGTAGTGCTAGCTATATAAAAAAATGGAGTGCTAGTTAAAATACTTCACGATGAAAGAATATGCAGGCTACGCATGAATTGGAGGGTTAGTACTCTGAATGCCACAGACCAAGCCAGGACAGTTAAATCTTTCCAATACCGGGGCACTGATTTTAAAGACATTCATACCTGAGCTAGTTCTTTGCATCATTAATTGTTGGAATTCCAAGCAAATGAATAAGCAGATACATGGCATAAAGCACTCAGGTGCTTAGACCAGAAAGTATTAAACAGGAACATATGAAATAAAAGCACACAACCCAAATCCACAGTGATCAATGTGTACTAAGGTGCCCTCTATCTTTCAAAAATAAAAACGCATCAGCATTCTAAGATGTTCTAGAGCTCCAAGTGGGGGATAAAAAGATTTTATGGTCTCAGAAGTCTCACATAAGTGCTATACAACTGAGACATCCTCCCATGTGAATTTTTGAGTTCCATTTGAGTCCAATACTGGATTTAATATTCTATTCAACTTTGATAATTTTGAATGAGTATACTCACGTAAGATGAGGAAAACAGGCATTACAGGCAAAGTTATTCTTATTGGAAAATAAAGTCAGACAGCAGTCCAAAATTCACAGCAAATGTGGCAAGTACCCTAGTTGTACATATAACCAAGATGAACATTCTACCTCCCTCTAAGGCAGCTATATTTCAGAAGTGGTTTGTATTTGTATGAATATATATAAAGAGAAGATACTTGAAAAATCTCTTTTAAAAGCATGGGAAAAGTCAGTTGCCTACAAATATCCCTCCAAGAAATGAAAATTATTCATTTAAATAACTATAAAACTTCCACTTAGTATTTTGTACTGTGTTAAAAATATGAAGTTGCTGTTGAGCACTATCAGAAGTCCAAAGTGCTGCTTGACCTGATAATTAAGGTGCCTTGCAGGGGTTGCAGCAGCATTTAATGTGATAAAACTGAAAAACGAGCTGGAAAGGAAATAAAAACTGGAAGGAACAGCAATTTTGCCCTTGAAACACATTCTTCGGATTCTTAAAGGTGCGTGTGTGTGCGCATGCGTAGGAGGGGGAAGGGAGCATCTCAAACATGCACATCAGAAATTTTCTGGTTTGGGGTAATTTGTTTCAACTCAAAAAACTTATGAACTGAGATATGTCTCAAGTGAAAGGCTGATTATTTAAGTCTTTAATGGACAAGTTTTACAGTGAGGGGAAGTAAAGCACACTAAAATCTCTACCTCCTTCAGTCTGAGAAGAGATCCTACAAGCATTCCCCCCTGCCCTCAGTGTTGTCCTAAACAGCCTTTGCTATTCTTTTTAAGTTAATTGCAGCAGGTAAGTAGCATTTGCTAGAATGAAGCATGATTTCAATAGTACAGAAATTACCATATGTGGAATAGTGGGTAAGGTGGTAGGGTTCCATGTGGTCGATGTGCTTGTTTTTGCTTGCCAGTTTGTTCCTCCAGTAAGTTTTTTCTCTGTAGGCTGGGTCCACTGCATATCTGATCTAAAAATGAAACTGTGATATTAGTTTTTGCAGAGAGTCAACAGCTAGAGTAACAACAACATAATGGAAAACCAAAAAGTGCCTTAATACACGTACACAGCTGAAATCTATGGGTGGAAGAAGCACTCAGGATTTCAGTAACTGCTTATATATCTCTGTTCCAGTAAGTAGAAAGTCTGGGTGCTCTGTTTTGTGTTAAAAGTAAACTATCATTGGTGCACTGTACAGCATAATGATTAACTGGAGTTTTGTGTAACTGCAAGATCTTTTAATGTGCTTCATAAAAATACTTAAATAAAAATACAGCAACTGCAAAACTAACTACTGTCATGGTGACTGACCACAGACTCACTATTTCAATGCTGTTCTTGGTACCAGATTACTTTCAAGAGTTGAGACTCTTGCCATGTTAAAGCTCGTAAACTGTGCCAGAGACTACCAAATAGTCACGTCAGAATATTATAAGTACATATATGCACTTACTTTTTGGATGGAGTTCCTCCAAAGCCAAGGTCTGGGGGGGGAAGAGAAACAGACAAATCCTTAAGAATTTTTAATTTTGGGGGGGTGGGGGAGAAAAGCTTATTTTGTTTTCAATAAGAAATGAGAAGGTTAAATTTAAAAGCTTCACACTTACTTCCCACTAGATTAGCAAGTGAAGAATCGAGGTCATTTGCCAAAATTTTTCCACTTTGCTGGTGGGCTAAAGTGGCTCTTTGACTTTGTGGTGGTACTGTGGGTTGCAATACATCATCTAGAAAGTTAAAAGCTAAACAAAGAACATAAAAGCAACTGTTAACAAAACAGTTACATTGCATTTAATAAAAGACATCCATAAGCCAGGGCAGTATTTTCTTTATAGAACATTAAGCAGTTTGAGTACTTCTATGTGGAGGTTCAACACGCTGGAAGTGTTTAAGGCTTAGACAGAAGCATAGCTTAACCTCTTATTTTTTTTATGGAATACTATATTGTAGCTACTGATCTAGTAGAATCTTTAATTTTACTTCAGCAGTAACTGATAGTATTTTTAAATTAAGATGAATCTTCCCTAAAACTGAAGAAGGAAGGAAGGTTGTTAAATATAGTTTCAAAGCATTCTTGTAATACAATGTAGCAATAATTTCCTGATACTGCTCCTATGGTGAATGCATGCAAGAGTTCTTTTGCTACATGTTCATAAGGACTCTGAATATATAGCAAAACAGCACTAACCAAGAGAAAGATGGTAACTCAGATATCCTTCAAGCAACACATACACACAACTAGTTTTGCATTTTTATAAGTAAACACCTCTCAGTGAAGTTAGAGGGAACTCATTAGCACGTATCAAGGGAAAAACACTGAAGTCATAAGCACTGAAAACAGATTAATATAAGCTTACCCGTTAAGAGATATCCAGTGGGCCATGTTGAAAGTTCATTCCCCCAAAAAGAGAGGAAACTGTTACTACACAGTATATAAGATCAGTCAAAGCTAATTTTAAAGTAAATAACTATAATTGAACTGATTGCCTGTTATCTTATCAGCCCTATAATCGGCTTGCAAATGTATTAAGTTATTAAATTTTAAAAGGCACTAGCAATTATGCTAAATTGTTAAGCGACTGTTGCCTGTAGGGTATAAATTAGTCATAAGCTAGTTTTTACCACTTGTAGTCCTGTACTCTGGTGCTGTAGATTTTCCTCCAAAAACAGCATCAAAGTCCACATTCATTGTTGAAGAGGTGGTACTTGGAGGACCTGAATGAAGAGGAAAACCTGAAAAAAAAGTTTACAGTAATCAAATACACCCGTGGAATAATACCACTCATTACAGTGAAACCAGAAAGTTTAAAAAAAAATAATCAAATTACCATCAACAGTCAGAGGATGATACACAGAAGCATATGTAGGTTTATGACCACTAAAGTCATCTTCGTAAAAAGAGAGAAGAAAATAAGATCAGTTTAAAAGAGAAAAGGAAGAGGGGACCCCAAAATTAAGTCTGCCATTAAAAATTAAGAACTTTTAGTAACAAAAAAGGATTTTTTTTATTTAACGAATTTGAAAAGCTCAAGTAACTCCTGCATTCCCCATTGCAAAAGAGAAAGGAGGTTGCAGTTTGAACGAAATCAGCAAAAATTCCAGCAACATTGCAAGACTTAGGATGCCTAGGTTGGGCAAGCTGAACAAAATAATGAGTTATTTCAACTGTAGAAATAAAACTTTAAGGAAACATATCATTTACTACATCTGGAATTAATGCACCATTTTCACTTTTTATTAAAAAGTGAAGATTGGTCCAAACCACAAAAAGATTACACGGCCCAGTTTATTAGCATTATTATCTCCAGTTGCAAAGAAATTACATGGGGGTTTTTTGTTTGGTTTTTTACCACTAAACAGTTCCACCGTTTGTTTGGAGGAAAAAGTAGAATTGATGAAAGGGGTGGTAGATTTTACAGCTTCTTCAACTGGCTTCATGTCAAAGATGTCCAGATGAGGTGGAGAACCAACACAACCATTTGAGGACGAGAAAGGACCTTTCAGATGCAGAAGTGAAGGAAAGAATACAGAGTACAAATAATGGAAAAGAAAAAAACAGACTGAAATGACTGAATATGAGAATCTCTAGACAAAGTAAAACTGTAAATACTCCACCTAGTGATCAGCCCATTAAAGATACAAATTCTTAGTTTCAGATAAAAATCCTAACAGCTCTCTTTGTTTAGGGAGAATAATTCTAGTATTGCCATTGGGTGGGAGGGGGAGAATGACAGAACATTTATCAATTAAAAGAGTTAGATACTACATTTTTAGCTTCATGAATCTACCGTTTAAATAGCACATAAGGGGTATCAATTCCACCTATTAAAATACCAACACTTACAATGGTGTTAACATTGCCTTATTTCAGCATTTAAGACATTTGACATCCATCCTGATTATTCTTTGGAGGGATGGGTGAAGGTACAGAGAATGCTGTGCCCAAGAAACTGGGAACTACAGGTTTGTTATAAAAACTGTGAAGTCACCAACACCTTTTAAATGAAAAGTACATTTACTATCACTTAAGGGAATGGAAATACTTGTCCAGCATATCTTTTGGAGTTACATTTGCTTAGTTTATATTTCCCAAGCATTTTTAAACTTTGATTTTTAGTTACATTTCTTCTACCTGTCCCCTTCACTGAATGGGTTCTTCATTCCATCTACCGCACATTGACACTACTGCTATGCATTTAAAAAAAGTAACTTTTCTGTAACAGTTTGCCAGAGCTTTCAGATGACTTATTTTATATTCTGACAGGGATAGAAATGTTTGGATGCAAAGTAATTAAGGTTTAAGATGTAGATTCAGTTAAGCATGAATCTGTATTTTATTCTTGTATTCTAAGAATTCATCCATCATTTAGACAGTCAAGTCATTGTATCAGCTCACCTCCCCAAGCACTGCTTGCAGATGTTGATATAGCTGGAGTGCTCTGCACAGTTGGAACAAATGCAGGCTGAAGATCAAAAAGATCACTAGAAAGGTTGGGCATGCTGAATAAGAAAAGAGAGAGAGAGAAACATGAAGATATATAATAGGCATTATATTCTTCTGTTATATGAACACTCATACCAATCTCACTTTCTCTTGTTCACTAGCAGCCCATCAATAATAGTGGTAAAAACCAAAACTAGTAATTAAGCACTTCTTATTGACTGATACCAAAAATTCCTGTGAATACACCAGGAAAGCATCAGCAAAAGGTTATTCTTGAAAAGTACTTCAGAATTAACTAGGATCAGTGCTTTGCAGTTGATTGTGGAGCTACAGGCCAATGAAATAATTTGTGCTTGCTTCAGAAAGCAAAGTATCTCTCACCTATTTGTTGTCGGTGCTGGTACTGCAAAGAGGTCAACAGCTACAGTGGTATTCACACTTTTTCCTGATAAGGTGCTTGGGGATGCTGATGTGGAAGTGGAATTTGGTACTACAGAAATCTCTCTTAATCGCTGTTCCTGAAAAATGAGGTATACAGTTTGCATTTTAGTTTTAGTAATCTATTAACCATTCAGTCCTGAAGACCTTTTCCAAGAAGAAAATTGAATTATGGTCTTAAATAAAACAGTTATTCTTCTGTAAAGTCCTGAAAAGAGATGACTGAAATTAGACTTCAAAGTATTTGTTTTAGCAAAGCCTTTAAAAATCAAGGTGGGTCTTAAGGTTTTAAATAATTATTTTTTTAAACTATCTATAACTGCCTGGAAGTAAAACACTTCTAGTCAAGCTACACATTCTAGGGTCCCTTCATAGTCACTCAGAGAAACACGACAACAGACCTTTGTTCAGAAAGGCCCATTTCTCTCTACTGTTAAGATCACTTCATAGTTCAATTCAGATGTTCAGAAGTGACACCAACAATGTGCATCCTAGTAATACCCATGTTGTGTTGCTCTTAAACTAGCAAAATAAAAATCTAGTTCACATTGTTAATTTCAGGTTTACATCCCTTGTTACTTCTATATATGCCCACTGCACTTATACAGCACAGGTCAACGCACAGGTGTGTGCTTTACACTGCTTAAATTCCTGAAGTAAAGCATTGAGTGAGCTTGCAGGCTTCCCTGCCCCCCAAATGAAAATTTGTATCAACCAATGTAAGTATTCTGTTACAGCAGCTACAAGTCCTATTACAGTAGAAGCAGGACAGTGAAGAGGGGAGACATCTGATGCAACTCCTGAAAACAAAAAAAACCAACCCCAACCAAAAAACCACAATATCACAACACTTGCTGAGATTCAAGTGAAGCAGTCTGGCAGCAAGCAGCAAGGCACAGTAAGAGTGCAGTTTAATAGCAAAAAACCTGCTTCATATTGATTTGAAATATATGCCTTACACCAAGTCAGGAAAAGTGGAGAATCTTCAACAGACCCCTATAACTCCAGAGAAGAAACTCAACTCTGAATGACTGTCAAAGTTTACTTTCACACTCCAAATAGTTTTAAGGCTCTCATAATGTGGCCTCCAGATGACATGAACAGAGTTGCTTCATCATTTAGGTGTGTCTAGAGATGTTACACCAACACAAGAAAAATGCCTAACTGCCCCACTTGCATATGCCTGGGACATGACAGAACTACAGATATAGCTTTCAGCAAGAGAAGCATTTTGCCTTGTTTGAGATTTTATACTGTCTATGTTCTCAGGAAAGCATTATAGATGAATTAAAAGAACCTGAAGGACCAGGATTCAGACCTGAAGAGAGGGATGTTACTAAGAGGACGACTCAACAAGTACCAATGAGCAAAGGAAAGCACATTAAGGAACCAAGACAGAACACACTGATTTTCTTTCAAATGTGTTATTAGTCAAAGTCCATAAATTATACCTAAATACATATGATTTCAAACAGTTTTTCAAACTAAATTATAGACTTACAAATAAGAGCAGTTAAACATGGGCAGAACTATAGCATATATTCTCATTATGAGCAGCATGACTGAAGAATCACACTAAAGCCATATTCCATACATCATGGGGAAAAATAATTCCCTCCTACCAATAATCAGTCTTAGAATAGCAATGCTGTATGTTCAGCTGCTGAGATGTAACCTAACTGTTGTATAATCATTTTGTGAATTTGAGATAAATAATCTCTTGTAAGGAAGGAAATAAATTATTTATATCAGCTGTCTACTGTTCAAATCATACTTCTGGTAGAAGGGTCAACCACATATTGTAAAAATGTATGTGTAAAAACTTGTAAAAATAAAGTACCTTAAGTGCCTGCAGTCTAGCTTGCTCCTCCTCCAATGCCTGCTGCTTCTCTTTCTCATCCATCCTGCTAAATGACATTCCTGTATTGGCAAGTGTGGAAACAGCACTGGATAGGGCACTAGCTCTAAAACCAGAAATAATTACAAACAGTTTTATTAAGAAAAACAGTCAGATATACATCACTTAACAGTTTAATCATCAAATGCCTTATCTAGTTGTGTGTTATTCCCCTTCCACTCCAGTCTTTTCTTCCCTTACTCTCTGGTACACAAAAGCGGACACCCCAATAATAAGGGAGTTTGGTGAAAAAGTGGCATGAATACACAGGATTACTCCCTCAAGTTTCAGCAGGCAGAAACTAGAAAGTGCAAAACATATCAGTTGTCTTTTTTCTTTAAGGTCATATATACCAGACTGGAATTCTATTCCATTCAAGTAGCAGAGGCACAGAAAGCTTGTTTGTATGTATTATATATACAACAGTAAACAAAGCACACAAGTAATTCCCTACATGGTATCCTTTTTAGCAGAATACTGTGGTAGTGAACCCTCAGATATTTGAAAAAGAAAAAAAAAGTCTGAGGAGCAAGACAGCAACTCAGGAATGTAGCTTACACTAACACATTTATCAATATTTACCAGGTTTCTGTGGGAGAATGCCTATGCCAAAAGAGACCTTTCACTCTTCAGTCAAAAGTACTGTTCATACATATTGATACTGTACTTGACAAAGAATAACACAATCCTTGTCAGCACAAAGCATCTAAGCTAATTTGGCTGTTCTGAGAAGGGACTGAAGAACTTTTATAAGCAGGTTATGATAAATACACAGTCTGAGGTAGATAATTGACAATAAAGATACTTTCCTATCTTGGGTAAAAAGAGTCTCGAAACCCAAATACCTTAGAATTCTTATAAGCAAAGGACTTCAAATGAGTAAAAGCTAAAAAGAGTAATATACAAGGTCTCAGCTCAGCGATTTATTACAGCATAATAAGAAGAGACACAGGCAGACATAACTAGCTTTCAAATGTGACTAAGCTATCAGATTACTACTACTCACTAGATGCTTCATTTATACTTCTAGGAAGATATATTTGGAAGTTAATAAAATTCAAGGAGAACACCAAATGACTAAATCCTGAAAATTCTTACTATACATATCCTAAGTATAGGCATCGTTGTAATTCATTGAGTGCTCACCTGCTGGCAGCGGAGACTTCTTTTGTTTTCTTTCCCTCCACAGAAGCCAAATGCTGTTCCAGTGCTTCAAGCAAGCTGCTGGGTGCCTAAAGTTGAAGTATTTATAAAACAGTGCTTCTAGACAACACACCATTGTTTAGTACACAGATTAGTTTCCTCATCCACTAACAACAAACAAAACCCCACACATCAATAATTGTTTTGGGTTTTGTTGCCATCCTGCACACTTGAATTCTATCTACCCAGTTGTGGTTCTTTAAAAGGAGTGGCACCACAGAGACATGAAGTAAGGATTCCCTCAGAGTAGGTCTGCTTCTGTGTATGCAAGTTGCATTCTTGTTTTTGGCAACAGTATTTGCCATGTTAAGATTAATCCAATAATCACAGCTGATTAAGCAGTACTCCCTTAAACTCACAGAAGTACCAAAATGAAGCCTTTGCATTTCTGATCCCCTTTCACCCCCTAACAGCAAAAAGCCAATCACTTTCCATTCAAATATTTACAGTCAAAGGCTTGCATTAGAAACACTTGACTTCAGCAGAATGTTAGGTTGGATAAAAAAAGCAATCAAATTCAATCTGATCCCAACAATACTATTGCAGACTGAGTGGGTATTCAACATGACTACACAATAAACCAACTCAACTACTCCAAAGCCTTTGGTAGCCTAAAACACTAGAAAACAGCAACATCACTTCAAATAAAGTTGTTTTCTGGTAGATTCCCCTCCCAGGAAAAGTGTTACCCATGAAAAGTTTTTAAGCATTAAGCTGTTTTTTAAAGCAATTAAGAAGATTCCAAAAAACAGGCTTCTTGCCACTTAAATCCAGCAGGAAGGCACTAGACACCTCAGCCAAGACTTGACTAGACACCTAAATGAATTTTAGGTGACCGATACTCATAAACTTACCAAGACTTTTGAGAGCACAACCATGACATTATTCAGTACCCGATACAAAGATTTTAACTGATAGGTAACAAAAGAGCAAGTTTAAAATATACAGACTAAGGCGCACCAGAGCTGCTTTGGTTCCTACAGAAAACAAGGAAGAAGTGCCAATCATAACCTGCCTTCTTTCTACCATATACTTGTATTCACTACAGAAATATTTATTCCATACCAAAAGAAACAGCTTCAAAGCTCTGAATAAATTTGAACTCATCTTGCTTACACAGTCTTAGTAAGAAGTAAGATTTCTCCAAATCACCCTATAAAAACAACCTCCAGCAAGCAAAATTATTAGGCTGGCACTTTCAGAAGAGTTCACTGCCTTGCTATTTTAGCCACACTGCTCTCTTGGCTTTTACCTACACAGTCCATACTCCATAAAAATCAGTGAAATAAACTGTACTGCAGATTCAGATGAAGGGAATAGACCTCCAAATTTTTCATCTACTTGCCAGCTCAGTCCTCCTCATCTGGCAGGAGTTTCAGAGACATTAAGCCTTTCTTAACACTTGCCAACTTTCTGTAGGTAGAACAGATATGACAGGTATTGTTCAGAAGAAAAAACAAACTTGCCCTTGCTAGCCCTTCTGTACCAAAAGCTAGACTAAACTATTTCCTGGAAAGAGGAAAAATATTAATCACACAAGGTTTTGGCAAGTTCCCCTCTGAAATACTGAGCACAATTCTAGCTCCCACATTCAATGAAGGCCAATTCAAGCTACAAGAGATGCAAAGAAAAGCAATTAGAATAATCCTGTAAAACTGCTTGGCTTAAAGTTAAGGCCTGAGTTGATACCTCTTTCTATAAAGAGAGCTAGGTAAGCTAAGACAGTGTAGTTATCTCAACAACTGGCCATGAATAAATTCAGTGTTCAAACTTGACAGCTAAACCCCAAGGGGGAACATTTTGAAATACCTTTCCAGGAAGGTATCAGGGACAAAAAAAAAAACCCCAAACAAAAACCCCCCATACTTCTACCTTTCGGGAGGAACAATAGTTCACAAAAGGCATTGCATGATGACACAGCTAGAGAGATAATCTTAATAGCAGGAGACTATAGTCTAATTCCAGAAAGTTTTTCCTAGTCTTCATTTTTTTTTCCAAGGACACTCTAAAACTTACCTGTATGGAAAAGCATACTCTATACTTACTGTTTCTAAAACCCTCTAGAGAACAACCCCCTCAATCATAAAACCTAAAACCAACAAACCAGTAACTTCTCTGAATTTTGTCATTGCTGCAGACATCCAACAGAACAGAAATTAAAATTTTGAGTGAACAGATCTTAGTAGTTTATGTCAGAAAAGATGCCTGGGCTAATACAGACATTGTGACTTGAAAACAGCTGTATTTCGTGACTCAGCTTCCCTCCCCCCATGTAAAGACATTTGACAGACTAACATCCATACAGAGGAAAATGATCCAGTTGCATTCATGAAATATAGTAACAGCTATAAACAGAAAGTAAGCAACATCGTTGTGAAACAGGGCACCTACTAAGGAAAATATCTTCTTTATAGGCACTGGCAAAGGCAGCAGCAGTGTGAACAGTAGAGTCAAGGAAGAAAAACGGTTATACAGCATCAGTAATAATAAACTTCTAAAGAGATAAAACCATTGTTTTTTTAAGGAACAGCTTAAGGAAACTCTGAAATATGCACATCCCAGAACAGAATATACACAGCAACATAAACAAAGTATTTGGAAAAAAAAAAAAAAATATGGTGGACCAGAATAGAAACAAAAGACATGATCCTGTAAGAACTTATTGCAGAAACACAAGCACACTGAAAATTAAATTTCTGTGAGAGTCTAGTATTAAGAAATTTTAGCAAATTCTTTTAATCTGGCACTAAATTGATGTACCATTATTCAATGCCATGCAATTTACTATGGAAGTAGAATGCTTAACAGTGGCACTGAAATTGCCAAAATACACAGGATGCTGACATCTACCACCACAGTTCAGAGAACTGCCTTTCATGTCTAAGTGCACTTAAGCCAACATTTTTTTCCTAATAGCTCAGCTATTTTGTGATAACAGCAGATATAAAAGGGATTTGCTCACTGAAAGTTTCAGATAAAAAGCAGCAAAAGGAAGTTAAATTCCCTATTCTCAGTAAATAAAAAGCCTCTGCTTTCAAGAACCTTATGACCCAATTAACTGGACAAGTGCATGCAAACCCAGTGAAGTATAACTTCAGACTTGAGTATAATTTGATTAGCATAATACAGACCAGCTGAATATTGCAGTACTCATCAAAAGATAGAGTAAGATGCTAGGATCAAACACCAACAGAAAACATCAAACTACTGTTTTCACTCAACTACTTGCTCTTACCCCTCTGGTTACAGTTAAATTTCTTTCCTACCACAAAGCACTAGAAGTTATTGAAGGGGTTAATATTAATTGCTAGGAGCAAGTATGAGAGATTTGTGCTTTGAAACATGTATGATTTCAGATGGAAATCATACTGTAGGCAGTAATGAACAACACTGACAATGGAAGTTTGTGGTTTAGGTTTATTTCCATATTAAAAAGACACTGATGAAGCTTTGGCAAATCTTCACAGTAGGTATATTTTTTACATGATTTACCCATGAAATTTAATTTCATAAAGGTAGTGTAGGATTAGATGTGACTGTTCAATACTTACACATTAGATTAACTGTTTCACACTGACTCCACTTAAACACTTTGAGTACTCTAAACCTCTAAGGCACTCCAGTTTAGTGCCCGAATCCCTTGACAGATTGCCATTTATTCTACCCATCAGGTTACTCTGCACTACAGAAAGAATAACAAATACCTGTCTCCCATTAGGTGGGTCCTAGGTTAGAAATACAATGTCCCTATGAACTGAAAGAACTTTCACAGAATAACTTTGTGACCTTCTGTGCACTATCAGTGTTTCCCGTTCACCAGGTCAAACCATCTTTCTCACCTCCTTTCTGCCCCTCGATTTATCCTCACTAGAAGGTGTTCCCCTGCATTCCACCTTTTAGACTAAATGTTGCAGCACACAACCTGTATTGCGCATGTCCCTCTTACTACTGAGTAATATCGAAGCCAGCATTAAGTGCTGATATAGAAACTTCAAATCTATTCAGACCTTAGGGGAAAGAAAAAAATTCTTGACTGAACTAGCTAACTGTAATCTTTAAGTGCGTTGAAAGACATTAAGTTATAGTGAAATGGAAGGTTTTCCTCAAGGCATGGCAAGATGCTTGTGGCTTACATGCCAATGAATCTTCTGTGTAAAACCCAGAATTTCCTGAAAAATATTTTCTGTGAGTTTTATTGCTTTAAACAATCAAAAAATCTTATTAAGAGCTGCAAAGTGCGAGTACTGAGTGCAGTTAATGCATGGGAAAAGTCACCATACATATTTCCCATATATAAATACACAGAAGAGAATAAATTCGAGATAAATGATTACTAGGATACACACCAACCTTTAAAAATGCAAAGAATAAAATAATTGGGTTAATCAATATGATATGTACACTGACCTGAGTAAGATCTGGAATGTCACCCTGATCAATTCCAACTTGCTAGATTTACAAAAAAAAAAGAAAAAAGTACATTACTACATGCAGCGGCAATGAAAATAAAAACCAGTAGTGTCTGAATGCTACATAGAAACTAACATATTAAAAAGTGATATTCATAACTTTCTGAACTGGTATGAGTTTCACTAGGAACACACCTTAGAAATCACAAGTGCATTAAATCACACCACAAAGCAAACCCAACTTTTCATCCAGCCTAACTTTTTCATGCAGAAAAGCTTATGGGGAGCATTAGAAACACCCACATTGCTTACTGGAACCACTTCTCCACTTTAAGCAGTTACAGTAAAGGAGAGCACTGTATATACACTGTAATATTCAGTTAATTCATGAATGGTCCAAAATGTAATTTGTAACAACACTTCAGAAAGTTTACTATGTTGTCTGGCTAATAAAAAGGATACTCAAGAATCTCACTTCCTGTTAATAAGCGTATACAACCCTTAAAATACCTAATCTGTAGAATACTTCCTTGTATAGCAAAGTTAAGCAAACATTAATCTGTTTCTGAAGTTATTACGAATATAGACTACTGTAGCAGTACAGACAGCTAAATTATATCCTCTCCATAGATGTAATTTATTTACCTCTGCTACTTTGAGGAATTCTGACAATTTGGTCATTCTGGCTAGAAATTTTTTGTAAATGTCCAAGCCTTCTTTGCACTGGTTCTTCTTCATATCAAAATATCTTTCTGAGGATGCAAATAAAACTCTTGTAAGGTAACAGTCTCCCCAGCAGAAAGCTGACACAGTATTATAGAAGTTAATTCGAGACAAGATTCAGGGAGAGAACAGACAGGAGTAACTCAACACTATTCAGATTTTAAAGTTTACATGAATACCTGACACCTTTTGTAATAAGGCAGTCAATAGAAAAACATTGATTTTTCTATCTCAGTACATTAGAATATAATGCAAAGCTTTATTAAGCATGGATGGGAATCACTGCAATTGTTAGACTAGGTATTTAGGGAAATATTTTCAAGAAGTCAGCTTATTAGCTGGCAATGAGGCAAATTATTTTATCATTTGAAAATATTCCTGGTATATATTTACATTTTTAGACCCTGTATCAATACACTTTGATGTTTGTAAATGGGCTCAACATCCAAAAGACAACAGAATGGCTACTGAATTGGTACATATACTGAACTGACCTACCAAAAGGAGTGTCAACCACATCCTTCACTTTTTATGGTTTTGCCCTATATATTTACAGACATTTCACCGAGTAAAAACTAATGGATTAACAGAAACTGACCAGATGTTTTCATTCAGAAATTTGCTTGAATATTCATTATAAGGCTTTGCTAAGAGCTCATCACTCTTGAACAAAAAATGCTACACGTCATCTACTAAGCCCATGTCAGGTACCAGGTAAAACTGAATAGTCAAGCTATAAAGAAAGTATGGGAAACCAGAAGTCAGTCATACTGTGACTATACTAAATACTCAAAATACCAGGTATCTCACCAATACGTTTATCGTCCAACTGCCAGAGGTTATCCACTGCACATTTAGGGTATCTTTGTTTCGCCTCACCAGTCACCCTCTCAGCTCAATTTCTACTTTAAGTTGTATTCTTCAAGGTAGAAGCGTATGTTTAAACCTATGCTAGTTGCCACTGAAACTAAGACTAGCTTAATTTAATGGTAATGGAGCAGAGACAATTCATTAGGAAACTGCAGTCAGAAATTGTCTATATTCTTTAGTTCACACAAAGAAAGAAAGAAAGAAATCTTTCACAAAAGTTCAAAGGCTAAAAAGATTCTCACATACCTAAAAGGTTAATAATCCCTTCATTGTATGCTGCAAAAAGTCTAATGGAATCTTTAAAGAGGAGCATAAAGGCAGCATTTATAACACCATTTGTTAGTTCATTTGGATTTGCCTGTGTAGAAAGCAATAAGAAAGTAAATTAGTATTTAAAAAAATAATGAAACTTTCACTTCAAAATGAGAGCGTTACCTAACACTGAGCTTAAAGTACTCACATCAAAATCAAGCAGTGCATCAAGCTGGTTCTGTATGATTGGAAGGGTTTTCAGAAGCTTTTCAGCATTCATGGTTCTCATCACTCCATCTATCCTACAGAGTAAAATACATACGTTTACAAGTTACCAAGAGACGTCAGCATATTATGCTGTTTCAATAACACTATATTGTTCAAAGGGCCCAAAGGAACACCAACCTATGATAACTCAGGAACAACTGGTATTTCTCACATACCCCCCCAATATGAAAGACCAAACAAAAGAAGCAGTAACAGTCTTACCCTCTTTTCATTTTGGTGAAGTCAACTGCTACAAGTCTATATGAAAGTGCTTTTTCATTCAAGTATCTGCTATATCGCCTAATGAAGGTAGACATATCATAGCCTAAAAGTTAAGCATTTATAAGTGAGACATTTTGAAGGGGTACAGTTTCTTTTAAGTTCTTTCCAAGAACTATTCTCCCACTAGCCCATTTTACATCAAATTGCATAAAAAGCCCTTCATAGGCACTTTCCAGAGTCTTGAGATTCACTGTTTTTCACCTTGAGATGTAATGTTACAGTTTCTTCCCAACTTGCTAAGATTAGGAAAGCATTCATGGTAATTAAGAGAATAAACACCTAAACGCATTAAAATATTACGCAAGAACCAAACAGCTCTTAAGATGTTCTTGAAATTTGACTAAAAATGTATTCCTAGTAAAATGCTGAAGGCTTTGGTAACTTATCTGCAATGCCTCAAAACCCACATAAAGACCCAAAAATGTCTTCTACCATTGGCAAGTAATTAAAAGACTTCTCAAAGATTTGAAGGAGTTCTCACTATTTATACAGCACATCCTAGTTACCATTCCATGCACCTCAACAGTAAACATTTACTCCTGAGACACTAAAATACAATGGCAAAAATAGATGATTGTGCTAATATTCATCAGGTTTATTCTAGTCAGCGTTAAGCGTTCACTTTTTAAAATGTACAGCTGTGTATGCACATGATACATACATTACAGACAAATTTCTAGCACTCGGCTAGGTAACCAAGAACCTTGCTTTCCTTGTGTCTATGTTCTTGGTTGGACATTCTTTGGTGTCTCATACAATACAAATCATAATACCATTTCATTCAAATGTTATTTGTCTCCTAGAGTGCCCTGACACAGGCACTATCACAGAGCAAAAAAGCGGTAGAGTTATCTCCTTCATTGAAGGATCCTTACCCTGCATGGCACTTTTGTCCAGGTAGTTATTTAAATTGAACAAAGTGTTTCGGGATGCAAGATACTGGATAAAGCGCTGTTGGTGAAGAAAAAGTTAAGAATATCATTGTTGTGAGAGTCAAAACATTTAAGCATACTACAAGAAAACTACACTTACCTTGTAACTGTTTCTAGTAAACTCTATGAACAATAGAAATTAGTTAAAAGGGAAAAAATTTAAGGAAAACTTGAAACTACTGATTGGCAAAGCCTCTGAAATCCAAAACCCTATTTGGCAAAAATATCAATTTAAACTAAATCAAAAGACATCACAGCCCATGATTAAAAGACTAATAATCTTAGAGGAAGCTGCTTAGGTTAACTTTTTAGTTTAGAACAGACAAGCTGGAAAACACAAACCAAAAATACCACTCGCATTATCCAAACTCCCAAGGTTTACATAGCTCTACTGCTGCTGTAGAAGGCGGAGACAGACTTTGTTAAAAAGTTTAAAGTACTCAATAACAATAATGCTTCTGGAACTGTGGTGAGCAGCAGCACTGGGGTTATAATTATGTATTCTATATATATTTTTTTTATACATATAATAATGCAGTGATCTGAGTAAACCACATTTACATTTTGACAAATAATAGCTGGCTCCATAAATAACGCAAGAGTAAGAGACAAACACATCCTGATAGCAAGGTAGTCTTAAAAGTTTCTCTGCCACTATTCCACACAGATTTCCTACAATTAAGAATTCTTGACTTTCTTGCTTCTTTGTATGTGTTTTAGTCCATAAAAGAGGATTATGATCAGTACGGCTTAAGGAACTTGCAACATCTTTGATCTGAATCCCTCTGCTGCCATTGCACACAGGGGCCTGTTCCTTCACCCTTTACGGTGGAAACCCACCTGTCTGCCAGGCTCGCACTATCGCACTCCAAAAAACCTAGCATTTTTTCAGTCAGGCTCAGTACATCACCTGCTCTTTGGGAATGGTAATGAGGGCTTAGCACAGCAACAAGAAAATTCTTCTTACAAGTACTATTTAAACTGAAAGCAGTACTTTCACCTTCCAAGGGGCACAAATGATTCCCCAACTTGTCACGTACCACCTCATCAGTAACTGCATATGTGTTCTCAGCCTATAGCTACAGAGTTCACACAAGTCTACAACACACAGCTTGCCTACCAATAGTTCTGGCACTGTTTTAACTTCTTATTCTGTTTTCCAGTCAGTTTACCTGGTCTTTGTACATCTTAGTACTGCATTCAAAGAGATACAGAAGAAGAAATACAGTTGGAACATGATCAGGAACAGAACAGTGATATTCAAAAGGTGTCTATACACATTTCAAAATTAGCTACTGTTCTGAATCTCAATTTAAAAGGTCTAAGGCTAACTCTCACTCTCCAGATGTCAGGGGTCTTGCATTGCACAATGCACAGGTGAGAGGAGTTTTAATCTGTTTCACCCAAAGCTTCATTACCAGAAACAGGTAGTCATGCAGAAGAAACTGCAAGACAGTCATTGCTCAGACAATATTTTGACCATCTGCTATATTTACTTGTACTTAAAATAGAAGTCCAACATCTGATAATTTTTCATCTGTTTAAGAAATAGGCCTCTTTTAGTGTATTAGAAGGGGTACACTCATGTTCCACCTGAAATTACAGAACTAGCGTACCACCCACATTATCTCAGCAGGTATAAAGGAACCCTTTTCAAAAGTTTCGAATGCACCCATTCAAAGCGGAGGAACAGTTTTTGGTACAGACATAAAAATTAAACTCTTCTGCCACTACAAAACACTGTATGGGCAAACAGATACTGACTGATAGCGCACAACTCTAAGTTTTGATTTTTTTTTTTTTCCCTATGGTTCAGTTGTCTGCCTTTTTTCCCCTTTCAAGTCTCAGTATGTAGATAGAAACTGTATTGGAAGAGGAGAGAATAAAATATACAAACTGATTTACAGCATTCAGTTTAGCTTTATACTTGGAATAAGTAGTCAATACCAAGCAGTGAATTTTACTTTGTATTATCCTCTAATTTCAGCCTATTATCTGTTGAAACTACAATTTAAGCACATAAATAACTTGGGGAAGTGTTAACAAAGAGCACACTATGTTTTACAGGTCATTTCAATTAAGGTCACAGAGCTTTGGAGAGAGGAGGCAACACTAAGTTTTCAGAGCAGTTCAATGGCTGGAAGCAGTACCTTTAAGAATCATTTCAATATTACCAGTAGTCAACAGTCACTTATTATGAGAATGACTACACACAAGTTCAGGACTAAACTGTCACCTGACCAAGACAAAGTTTAGCTTTTAACAGAAGGACTGTGTAAGAGAGGCTACATTTCAAATGCTGTCTGGGAAGCATGTTACTGTCTGGGAAGCTTTTCATAAACAGTGATGAAATAATTTAAGTGAACTAAGTGCAGTAGAAACCTGTTTCAGAGGAATGTTAATGGCAACAACATATGAAGATTTAGCCCATTAGATGATGATTTGCAAGATCAAATATTCTAGTCACCATATTCCTCCCCCCTTTAGTAAGTATTCTTATTTGTTAATATATCGGCTACACATTTATGGAGTTCTAACAAGACTTTTGTTGTGCTCTTACTGATAAGCAATACCCTAATGAAGTAAAGCTCATCAGAAGTTTTTCAAGTCTTCATTCTAGAAGGCTCACTCATTATTCCCTCACAGCCCAACCCAGATACCTGCAGGTAAATTGCAAACACTGATATATTTTGGTACTGAAATAATGAAGGAATATTTTCTTCTCTGGAGAAGTACTTTACAGCCATCAGACGAGAAAAAACAAAGACTGAGAAACTGAAGTACATATCTAATGCTTCATAGATTAAGACAATTATTTAAAACATTGTCAAGGAGGCTTTAACAGAACTAATCATGTCTTACCTCGTTTCCATACATCATGAGGTGGTGTGTTGTAATTAGAGCTTTGAACACTACAACCCAGCTACTGTTTGCAGTTCTCTCAAAGAGTGTGTCTGCCAACTGTGGAATATTCACATTCATTTCATTTGTGCACTGTATTAGATCTAAATTAAAGAAAAAAAAAATCAAAGCATTACAATGAGTTGTATGCTCAAAGAGGATCATCATGTTATTTTGTGTTTTTACATTGAGAATTCATACTGGAAGCATTAACTTCAGTTCTTTGTTTAAGAAAGAACTGAACAATTTTGCATTCTTTGCTCAAATTCACTGCATTTTCCTGAAAGACTCCAAGTATGAACTTCACAGGCATTTCAATAATTTTATGGAGTCCCAATCCCTCATCAATAAATAACCTGTTCCAGTAGAAACTCTATGCCCAAATTATTGTCCAAAAGCCAGCGTAGACCTTCTGGATGCTCCATGCCTGAAGCCACTCAGCCTAACCAAATCCATGAAAATCAGAGAAGCAAGGAAAAGCCGAAACATCTATACCTCACAAGATCAACAGGCAGCAAGTACGCTGCAACTTCTACCTAAGCCTCAGTACTGACACACATGACAGCAAATGAGATGCTACAAACCTGTAATAAGCCTCTTTTCTATAAGAAGTAAGAGCAAGAATTTGCATCTACTCCTTTTCAGCTTAGCTAAAATAACCTAATCGCCAACCTACTGAGTATTTGTGGTGGATCATGGCAGGTCTCAGGCTTTTGTATAAAAAAAGCTCTTTGTGTCCAAGACTGATTATAAACTCAGTAGTGGAACATTAACTTGGGAGGTCACAGACAGAGCTTCAAGCCTCTGCCTGAGTATTGGTACAAAACCATAACAGGCTCCAGCAGATACATGGGAAAAAAGCCTGCCTGAAAACGCTAGTGAAGACACTTGCTGAGAAAATAGCAAAGAACTGAATCCAGGGCTATTCTAAACCCCTCAAGACATGTACATTAGACATTTATTCTCTCTCTGAGCTAAATTTGGCTCAGGTGCGATCAAAGTACACCTTAAGGACTGGGCAAGGCCAGTAAAACAAACATCTAGTTTGAAAAGCTTCCTTTGTGGCCTCTTATTTAAGCCAAGTCTGTGAGCAGCCTGTTGGTTGCAGAGCAGCATTGCTGTTTATGTGGTTTGTCTGTGTAAGTACTTGAAGAAGGGTGGGTGCTTGGGAAGCTGGGCAACGACTGAATGCTGAGGTGTTGGCACCACTGAAACAGCCAACTTATTTGTTTTATTAGCAGTACATAGAGGACAGACTGCGATACCATAAGCAATTTAAACATGAACTTAGAGATCACACATTGATAGTTCAGGACAAAATACTTCAGAGAAATATTGCACTTAGACTTTATATCTGTTCTAGTGCACAGAATATATTACAGATGTATCTTAATTAAAGATCTGTTTATTAAGAACATAAAGTCCTTTGATTAAGGATCACTGTTTAGAATAATTTATTAACCAGAGTAATTTTAACAGAGTAAAGAGTTTTAGATAGTAACTTGTCGAGGTAGAAAGCTATAAAATGCAAATTCTAGTAAGTTACTAATTTCATTTTGATGTCAAAGGTTTCTAAATATGTACAAAACCTGCAAGTTGGGATGAAAACTTTCATCCTTATTAGTAACACACAAAACCGCTGAAATAACTGCACAAAAAGAAGAATCCTGAAAAGTTTTAAGCAAGCTATACATCAAAACCTTATTGTTGAATAGTATTAAAATATTTCAATATTTACAAATGTGAAGATTCTCAAAAAACCAAGTAATTTGATAGATGCTGCTCATCACTCACAGCTGTATCATCATCAGGTGCTGTCTCAAATGAAGTACTTTCAAATGTCTAGAAGTCCAAACAGTCCACAGACAATTATTGCCCCATATATCGAAGCAACTCCCAATTCCAGAATTTATACATAGAGAAAACTTGAATTTTAATTCAACAGCCTCATCTACTGAATGAGAACTTTCTTATGACATTTCTAAGTAATTCTCTCAATACATAGTAAGGCAAATAAGTCTTCCTAAATTCAAACAGTCTATAAAGAACACTGCTGTTAGATCTTGCTCAGTATTTTTCATGTAACTGAAGCATCTGTAAACAGCACAGAAATGTTACAGAACTGTTACAAGTGGTATTCTCAGTTTATATAAACCAACCACACAAAAACCCAACTAACAAAACCCCCACAAACTCTACACAGAGCAGTATCTATAATATTACTACTAGGTAACAGTTAAAGAAATTTCCACTGATCTGCTGAGGTCAAAGACCACACAGATAAGCTTATCAAAAATATTATTTCTGCACAAAGTCCTTTTCCTTCACACGACCACTAAGCAAGTCAAACTTTTCGCTTAAGATTTTCAATATTAACAGTGCTTATTAAATAACACATACAAACTGGGAGGGAAGACCCAGGTTAAAAACAAAAAGCTTTCTGCTCTCAAGTCAAATTAGCCAAGCTAGTTTCATTCCTATTTTGCCAGCACTCTCCACAGAGATTTCAATCTTGTCACCTTCCCTCAAGCTAAGGTCTACCAGCAGATGTTCCAGTAGATGCTGAACACCTGGGAGATCCCTTGCATATAATTATGTCTAACACTGATATCAAATGTGTTCTTACTGTGCTGCTCAGGCACAACGTGACAGAAATCCTACTGTAAGCAACTATATCAAATGCTGTAACTGATCAGCTCTCCTTAAGGCACACATCCATAAAAACAAACTTTGGCTTATCATGCCATCATAAAGGTTTACTACCACAAAAATCCATCCAGATGTCTACCTTCAGAAGGTAGTTCTGCTTTGGTACTGCCTTCTGCTTTGGTACACAAGACTAAAAGAAGTCTTCTGTCAAGTGACAGTAACAGAGTGAAAGTTGATAGACCTCTGATGCATTTGAGAAGCTCATATGTTATTGTTTTAATCCACAAGTGTGGTTCCATGGGACTGAAAAGTGCAATTCCAGTAATTCTTTGAAAGTGCTAGTAAGGTTTTCCAGCATGCGCTACTTGCTTCTCTAAGATGTGAGCCTGACCATTTTAAAAGGCAACCAAAATGAAATATTTCACATATGTAGCGCTACTCAGAGTCTAATTCAAGCTGTGGTTGAGATTAGAGGACCTGAGCGAGCTGCAAGTGCCATGCACTTTAGACTCGTGCTGAAGGTGATACATACTGGCTCCCCCGAAGACAATTTTTATTGAGGGCACTTAGCACAATTGTGGTCTTTGGTTTCAAAATCTCCTTGAATGAAACGCATTATGAAACACGTAAGCCAACAGTTGCCAATATTGAAGAACACATGCTTAGGCAAACAAAATGCCTCTAAAATACTAAACTAAGAATGAACGGTGGGAAAAAAATCTCAGTGCATTTTATAGGCCAAAACTGGACTTTCCTAGTGTATTGCAAAAAACCTAAGTTTAAAAATACTTTTTAATAATGCTACTCAAGGCAATGTTTTAATTACTATTTTACAACTAGTAATAATAAAGTTAGCATCACATTTGAATCCTAGCAATTGAGATACATAAAAAAACCAAGTGTCATTTCTTCAATACGATTCTTCCAGGTCTACAATAGGAATATCTACATAGAAACAACTGTATCAACCTCTTACAGCTGGCAGCAAAGGAGGAAGAGGCTATTAACACCATACATCTGAAAGTATAAAGCAACACATGCACCTGAGAGACTGACAGTTGGGCAACTGTAACATGGATGCTGGCAGCAAAAACTGGAGTGAAATGTGTAGGGCAAGTGACACTCATTTTCTTATTGCATTACTTATATAAACACTTTACAACTCAAAGCATTTTGCCAATTACCCAGAGGAATCATTTCAACTGCAAGTGAAACTGTGGTGCTATTTCTAGAATGGAATTTAGAAACATGTTAACATCACACAGGAGGGGAAAAAAAAAAAAAGCTTTAAACCAGAAGAATACCATAGGGATTTTCTAGCAGGCTGCAAGAGCTGTGGAAATCTTACTGCCTAGAAGAGTACTGAGGGTTTCTCTTCCACAGCTCATCTGAAATACTGGCACATCATCTATGAAACCATACAGCTCTTTGGAGAACAACATGCATAAATCCAGGTATTAAAAAAAAAACCAACCAAACCACAAAACCCACAGGTTTTTGGAAAATTCTCAGCCAGGCACCAATAAAAACTGGCATAATTTTCAACTTTCAAGAAACAAGAAAGTCATCATTTTCTTGATTCAAGAATATCTCCCTCAAGAGAACTGTAAATACATAAGTTAAAGACAACTATAATGATTTAATATTCCCATCTTTCTTCCATTTTGTCACAGGACTGAAACTGCTCTAAGACAGATGTAAGAATTAAGACCACTTTCCTTAACCCTGGCAGCCTTGCAAAAAAATTTACATTTTGTTTTTGGAAGTTGAACCTTAAACTATAGATCAGAAAACAGAAGAGCCACTTGAGCAAACTTTCTCCATGTAGCTAGCCTAAGGAATGCAACAATTCTTGCTGGAAGACTGTAATAAAAGACAGCACCTGACTGATACAAATATTTTTTATGCCTATGAGCTCTTGTAGTGCAGATTGGATAGCAATCTTTAAGTTTCATCCCTATAATAGCTAAATCTGAACTTAGAGTTACTTTATCAGAAGCAAAGCAATTCAGCTATTCTGTCCCAGTCCCGCACTAAACAAGGATACACAAAGTCCCACAAGGTTTTTTAAAAAGCTTTAAGCAATTTCTAAATAAAACTCACATTTATAGATTACAAAAACATTAACTATTTTTCTGTTGGAGTCAAATTTCCTCAATTACTGTATTGAAAAGCTTCACAGATCACTGAAGAGCTTCAAATTAAAAGACAGCCACCTTACCGCCTGCGGGAGAGTTCAAGAATGTTTCTTCATACCATATCACAACTTACATATCTCTGCAAGAACCACACTGCATCAGCATTCACCCCACAGTCGTGAGCTCTAGTTGCCAAAAGTAAGAACAGGCAGCTACAAAAACAACCCAAACCTGTGACAGTCATAATGTGACATTATTGGCAAACCTTAAAGCTTGCGATGATTTTGTGGAGACCTGAACTTTCTCCTAAAACAAAAGGCTTAAGAGCCTAATTCTGTTACATAATACAATTTTACAGTACCAGAATTATCACTTCTTACAAGATTTCCAAAGCTTGTATATGTACAGGAGTTTAAAGTTTGATGAGTAACATTAACTACTTTCCCCTCCCCTGTGCTTCTTATGTGGGCTGTATACAAGTTGAATAGGTGTTGTTTTTTCCTCTATTACTGCGTTCAGTTGAAAGTTTAAGATGCAATTAATTTAGGGGTTTGTATTTTTCTAAATTTTGGTCTACACGCAAGTCTACTCTGCCAGTTACCATCTTGGCTACAGCTTTAATTTATTCTTGTTTTATCATGGCTTTTCAATAGTTAGCCAAAAAGAGATACGTCACCAAAAGCAGCATCTAGCCCCACTCCACTGCAACCCAAACTCAGAAGGCTGAGGGGAAGTTAGAGAACCCACACTGGGGAAGAAGAGATGAGACCTTCAGGTACTCCACTAAGAGAAAAGATCAGCCTCTGTATAACATTTTACGTTATCCTAAAATATTACAAACTACTACGGAAATAGATATGCTGACTTATTTAGGACACCGTGACCTACTTTAAAAGGAAGAAACCCCAAGTATTCCCACTGACATTGCTTAGGGTTTGGGGGCTTTGGGGGGTTGTGGGGTTTTTTTGTTTGTTTTTCTCTTCAAGAAAAATACAACTACATTACTCAGCAGTTAGTAGCCAGACAAAACCCAAGAATCTGCACATGCAACATCTTCCCGTAAATACCCGTATTGTAATATTATAGTTTTTCTTGCTGAGGAAACTTGGCAATAAGGGGATTTTAAGAATTAATCTGAATAGAGTGCACAAACTGATACTCCTCCACGATCCCCGATACAACTACAGCAGCTCTCAAAGACACATTCTTGGTGAAGCTTTTTCTTGAGCAGCAATTACAAGTAATACCAGATGGTGTAGCATTTTGAATGACACACACACAGCGACCAAAGTGCAACTAGCAGTGTTTTGCATTAAATCCAAGCTATGTTTTCCTTCATATTTTACTTAAATTGGAAAGTACTTGCACCATACCTTCGAAAATACATTGTGTGAATTTTCCAGAGATTACAGTATTTAAACTAGTATCTTACCTGCTTGCATTTAATACAAGTAAGTTTTGTGTGCAAGTGAAAAAATAAGTACCACCACGCAAAGGCTTGCAGATGTTTGAAAAGCAGTGCCTGGGTATACTCAATGAAGACTGGAGAATGTTCATGGGGATTTTTTTTTTTTAACCCCTTACAGAGATATTTGTGGTACCATCTTTCACATCTTTTTTTTTACCCGCCCCGCAAACACGTTCCTCGATTTCAGATACCAAGTCAGAACAACAAGCTTTTTGTTTGTCTTAGACCAAAGCCCGAGAAAGTGAATTACACCAAAACACAGAACTCATCTGGCACAGAAGGGGACCTTCAGGAGACTGACAGCTCTAAACAGGCTTGTATCAAAAGATATTCAAAGAAATTTGATAGTCAAAAGGCAACCTCTATTTCTGTTATTCTCAAGAGAAAGAGTTTTTCCAGGTTTCCATTTTCTTATTTTGCAAGGGTAACTTACAGTAGATGATGTTATTTCAAGGATATTTTCAAACAATACACTACATCACTTAAGCTTCACAAGCTTTCAAACTATTGAGCAAACTGTCACCACTTTTCTGGCTTCCTGTTACATTGCCATTTCTGGACTTCAGGGTTACCTCATTAAGTCGTACTACCACAGGCAGAACACAAGACAAGATAAAATAAGGTAACGTCAAAAAGGTATCTTTAAGAAAAGAAGTTGACAGTTACCCAGTTTTAAGGCTTTTACTTTCAACACAGTAGCTGCAATATTCACTACTGTAGCTGGATTCCACTCATTCAGATCAATAACGAATGAGACGTACATTTGGTTCTTTTTAACTACTTGATCCACAGCAAAAGCTCTCACGCAAGGGGTCTGTATTAACAGACGAGTACCATAGCGTCAGAAAGCCAAACTATCCTCAAACCATATAACGGAATACGCTTCTTCCAAGAGCTTGAACAGCAGACTCCCTTTGGTACCACCAACTTGAACAAGTCCTGCAGAACCACCAGCCTGCTCCCTTGACTTTGAAGAAACCAGCATAAAGCTTCACATCTTCTTCCCTCTCCCTAATGGAAACACACACGCTTACTTCACTTTTAATAGGTGGTGAACGGGTATAGTGCACAACGTACAAGGTTTGAAGCATTCAGTGAATTTCCGAGCAGTCCAACAGTAGCTTCAATTGCTATCCAGTTACTAAAACCTGAAGCAAAGCAACACCACTGATACTTCTGTGGCTATCAAGGGTAGCTTTCTGCAACTTGTGGTATACAGAAAGGAGTTTCAACGTATTAAGTTTAAATATATCAGCGGCAACATACTCTCAATTCTGGAGAGATGTTTTGGTCCACCCTTGCCTTTCCCTTTACATCGCTTCAAGGGTTTTTACCTCATATTCAAGAGCCGTAAGACAGAAAGCTATGATATTTCGGGAAATGTTAGAAATACTTAAGTGGCCGCACTCCACCAGATGCACAGAAGGACGGAAGAGCGCTTAAGAACGTAACTTCTCGCTCACAACAGTAAAACCACACCGCTTAACCCACCTTTTCCCCAGGTGCCAGACTAACAAGCAGCACTGCTGTCTCCAGAGCACACAAGCCAAGAAGCTCTCGTCGGGAAGCGTTCACGAGGTTGGAATATTTTTGTTTCCCGGGCGCGACGGGGTGTTAGAAAGCCCCCCCCCCCCCGAAAAATAAGTTTTGAAGAGCAAACCAGCCAGGTTTACCACAGACACACGCGAGAAAGGCCGCCCCGGGGGCTCAGAGCGTCTGCCCGGCGGGCGAACGAACGAAGGGAGGGGGTCCGGCCGCGGAGCTCCTACTCACAGTCCAGGTGCTTCTTCTTGGGGCCCATCACCTCGTGGGTCGTCGCCTTGCAGACAGCCTTGGCGACGGCCGAGCCGGTGACGCTGTGCTGCGCCGCCGTGATGCGGTCGGTGATCGACTGCCCCGACATCGTCGGCGCGGCCCTGGCGGCGGC